AGAACCTCTGCTTCCAGACAACTGCCTAAACCTACGGCCTATTCCACAGGATTGTAAAAGTAGGGATGTTTCTAAAATATGCATTTACTTCAATATCAAAACAGCTACGGTAAAAATAAAAAGACGTGCATCATCCCGGACATAATGCCACACCACATGCGAAATTACACAGAAATGCGACGTACGGAAGAATGCGTTTTGACTGCGAACATCTTCCAAAAAACTTGGCATCTCTTAACCATGGGCAAAAACATCTGGAACCACTTATAAAAACCACCCGTATCTGCATGAACTTTTACCCCCCCCACTGCTATTCCAAACAACGCGTTTTTCTGGACCATTCCAATTCGCCTCGTAATTTTTAGGGGTGCGTCTGCGATATTACATTGACCGCGAAAGCAGCAACGGCAAAAATACACATTCGTGCATCAACACGGGCATGCCCGCAGACGGCGTATAAAATTGCGTGCCGATTACACAAAGAGAACCCAGTGTTTTGACTGCGAACATGAAAAATCAGCCGATTACAACACTCCGTCCGGAGGTCCTGACCTCCTTCACGGAGTAATAAAAACTATACCAATGTCGTAGAATGCCAAAATCAAACGAAAAAAGACGAAATTGTAAAGAAATGAACTTGAAGACTAGATTATTTGCCAAACCATATTCTGTGCCATTTGCTCAACCCTCATGACCACGTAGATTTCATAATGAAAAGAACTTTTTTTTTTGCAAAACTTTTTTTTATTCGCACGCGCACATCAGTTTTGGGGCTCCCGGAGGATGTCATCCATACAATCAAATCAACATGGCCTTACATTGAGTCATGGCTATCCTGGGTGCCATTCTTCATAGTTTCCACCGGCATAAACTAAGGATGGCACCCAGGCTAATGGCTAGGTCATCAATGAAGGGTTTTGTCTTTTTCTATTACCGGGTTTTCTGAAAAATTGCCTGAAATGCAAGAACAAAATCAGAACAATTTTTTTATAGGTAGTCATAGTACGTTGTTGATGTTGTTTGTGTACATGTACACCCTGGATGTTGTTGTTTATGCTATTGTTTATGCTGTTGTTTATGTTATTGTTTATGTTGTTTATGATGATGTTTATATTGTTTATGTTGTTGTTCTTGTGGTTGTTTATGCTGTTGATGTTGTTGTTGATGTTGGTTTTTGTACATCAGGCCCTACAGACAGGTCCATCTTTCCTGGATGTTGTTGTTTATGTTATTGTTTATGCTGTTCTTTATGTTGTTGTTTGTTTGTTTTTTGTCTACACCAGGCCCTACAGACAGGTCCAGCCACCCTGGATGGTCCCCAGGTGAGAATCCTGGACTCAGGTGTAAAAGGTGCGCGGCTTGGCGGGGTGGACCTGGAGGGGGAGGACAAGGATAACTTCAACCAGATCAGGATGAAAATGGCCATGCTTGGTCAGCAGTTCAGGTGACTAGTGCTCTTAGTCTACAGAACTCTGAGGAAGTCAGACCTGAAATAGCTTTTTGATCACTGAAGTCAAAGATTTTTGGTTTATTGGTACCTTCTTGTACATTGGTTATGTTTAAAGGTTGTTGGTTTCATTTGGTTTTTGGTGAGAGCAATTTTGTGGTTAGCCTATAAATATAACTACAGTATCAAACAAACAAACAAACTTGTAGGTTGACTTGTTGGCAATCCTACTCACAAGTTCTCACTCAATCACTCGATTGTTCACTCGCTCGCTCATTTTCTCTTTCTCTCTCTCTCTCTCTCTCACTCTCTCTGTCTCTTAGCTGAACATGTATATCTACATTTACTTGATATTGTTGACTTTGGTAAAGTAAATTACTTTTTTCTTCTTGTACTTGCAGTAACAATGTGTTAGACTCTACCAAGGCGTTCTCCCTGACAGTGACAGACAAGTCCCACATGGATGGAGTACCAGACTCCTTACTACACCTCACATCATCAGCTGCTGCACAGGACAAGGACAGGTATGTCTGGACTTACTGGTCTCACAGGGGAACTGGATAGGGCTACTACAGCTAGAGAGGAAATAATCTTATGGCCGAGATTAAGCTAGTACAGATGGGTCGAAATTAATTTTTCTTTTATTTAGGAAAACCAATTGTGCAACGTTTCATCACTCAGGTGTCAGATCATGGAGCTAGAAAAGGTCCATCAGCTTGCAAACATTTATGTCCCTTGCACTAGTTGAAGGGGTCCACATACAAAAAAAAAGCTTGGGTTGGTAGTTTTTTTCTAGGGTTGGTTCCGGAAACAGGAAACACAACATTTTTTTCCTAAGCCTTACAGCAACAACATGTTGAAATGTGTACTTGACTCAAAATGTAACATTTGGATGAGAAAGCATCAGAAGTTTATAAGTGCTTGAGGCATACACCAAGGTATACACCAAAAAACAGTTCTCAAGCAACTGGATATGATTTCAAAACGTTCAGTGTATCTAACACAGGTAGCATCCACTACCTTGTTGCTTGTCTAAATGTTTTTTAACTTATCTTATTACCTAGATGTCCAACCTTCACCGATGTAAAGCTACGGTATATTTTCCTTATAAATGTGGTGGCACACAGGAAGATGATAGGTTGATTAAGGATGAAACAGAAAAAATGGCACAGATTGAAAATAGAGAAAACAATTACAGATGAAGAAATTTGATGTACTAATATAAAAAAATCCACATTTCGTGGATATTTCATATTCATCATTTATAATATAGATAACATACTGTACATGTATTCTTGAAGTGTATTTGGATAAGTTCAATTCTTTGTGTTTGAAATTACAGTTTAAACTTACTACATAATGACGTCTACCAACACATATGAACTTTTTAAGATGCTTGACATGTCCCCCCCAGTGTTGACCCAGAGAAAGGGCCCTGGAAGTTGACCCTTGACATGCCGTGTTTCGAGCCTTTTATGAAGCACAGCCGTAACCAGACCCTGCGGGAACAGATGTACCGTGCTTACATCACACGTGCTTCACACGGCGACCACGATAACACAGGAGTCATCGAAGACATCAGGAAACTACGGTGAGTGCACACTAGAAACCTGGACCTGGTTTTCCAGGGACGCCGCTGACGGAGCGTACTCACATATTTCTGTGTTTTTCAAGCGAATTTCATGGATAAACCTTATTATTAATAAGTGACATCATTACATACTACACACAGGGAATGTTACTATACAGGGATCATCTCAAATTCGCTCGAAAAAGACAGAAATATGTGAGTCAGCGGTGTCCGCCATCTTGAAACTCAAGGGAAAGCAGAAAATTTTCTTTTGCAAATCAGAAAAAAATGGACAGGGCGAATCCGTGACACAACAAATTAAATTGGCTTGGCCTTTCAGTACCTTTCTTAAAAAATGTGTATTTTTGTCACCCTTGCCTTTTCTTTCCATCACATTACAGAAAAGAACAGTCTGCCCTTCTGGGCTACGCGACCTTTGCCGACCTCTCTCTGGACACCAAGATGGCCGACAGCGTACAGGAAGTGATGTCACTGCTGCAGAGTTTAAAGGTGAAGAGTGCAGTTTTTAGGGTTTGAAAACCAGACTTTTCAAAGTCAATATTCTAGTCACTGATGTGCATACTAGGGTGAAACAATACTGTCCCAACTGATATCGACATTCATGGAGCAAAAATGCTGAAAATGTCTGATGGAAAAAATTACTGAAAGGGCCCTGGGCTGACTTTTGAGGTTAACTATAAAATATAAAGGACGTATCATGGGGCTTGTTTCTGCAGTAACTGTTGTAAATGCCAAAAGTATGAAATTCTTAATATTCAAATGTCCTAATGTGGGACAGTGTGTGTCAATATCATACAGATTGCCTTTTTCAGAAAACTTCCAATTTTGATAGCCTGGGTACCATCCAGATTTTCGCTCCACAACGCTCGAAGAAATCCATCGAGCGTTGCAGAGCAAGAATCTGGATGGTACCCAGGCTACAATTTTATAACGGCCATAGCCCTAGGTGGGGTGGTGTTACGGCCGTGGTGCTTAGCGGGTTACGGCCAGCCGCGACCGCTATCGGAGGTGTTGATAGCCGGCGGGACCGGAATGGGGTGACCGCTTACCGCGTTGAACAGGTGACCGCTATAGACACAATTCTTAATGCTTAAATCAATGGGAAAAATTCAAGGGACCGGCAAAAACTGATTGCTATGGCCAAGTGACCACTATACAGGGGTGACCGCTAGTACAGGTTTGACTGTATTTGAATGTCTTTACAGGTAAAGAGTAAGCCCGCGGCAGAGAAGGAGTACGCCCAGCTGGAAGAGTTTGCCCGCAGTAACGGCCATGAGGGGAAACTGAACCTGTGGGACCTGTCATTCTGGTCTGAGAGACAGAGGGAGCAACTCTTCAGGTATCCTATCATAGCACGTCCGCAGAACGTACTGTGCCTGCGCAAAACACTGATTTTTCACGAGTTTCATTGGATTTTCAGTCACCGTTGCATTAGAATTTTGCCTGTTGCAGAGGATATCTTTTTAGAAATAACATTTAGAAACTACAGACAGAGTGTTGACCTTATATAGGCGAATACGACCCTATATGAGACGTTCTGCAGAAGAGCTATGCACAATACATTACGGGTTTTGCACAGGTGCAGTACGTTCTGCTGACGTGCTTCCTATCATATTCATCTGTGTAGGAAGCTGCATGTTTAAGGTAAAACTTTTGTTCCAACACAAAAAGGTAAATGCTCTCACCTAGATCCTTCCACCAGTCACTCTGGTCTTCCTCAGTAGACTGATCATGACCCAGTGAGGCTTGTTACATGGCTTCTCTGAAGTGTGACGTCAACACTGGGTCAAAGGTATTTTTAAAAATCTGGTAGAAAATCTGGTAAAGGGTGATCGGCCCTGATGTGAGTAGCCTAGCCTTCAGGTATCCTGTTGTGTTTTCTTATCTTAGGATGTACAGCTCATTATTGAAGATGTCAATATTATTGTAAATAATGTTTGGTGCTTTTAGTACACAGAAATGTCAGATACAATATGGAGAAATTCTTAATAAATAGAACTTTATCATTAAAAGTAAACAAGATTACTTAAGTTCAAGCTCAACTTTAAATGGCTTAATGAAAGAATCACATTATTTTACGCTTTTATTGAGGTAAACAATGTAGACTAAGTTACTTTGCAGTTATTCTGATTGTAGCTATAGCAGGATATTACATGACTTAGGGTGGGTGCAAGTCATAGAATTGCAGTACTGCCTAAGGTTAATAGGTGGAGCTTTTGAGTTGCTCAGTGTCTTTTTTGGCAAGAGTGAGGCAAATGCTCTACAAGTGGTTGTTCTTGTCCAGTACTAGTATATGAATCAGCAGTCTGTCATACTGCCTTTTGAAGATAGAGGGAGCTTTTGATTTTTCTGTCATGTATTGCTTTCTTGAAACAAAGTTAACCATGATATTTTTTCCTTCCAGCTTTAGTGAAGAAGAACTTCGTCCTTATTTCCCACTAGAAAGGTTGGTTTATTTGCTTTGTTTGTTTGAGTATAATGTCAGCTACAAAATGTGTACCAAATAAAAACATCATCTGAAAAGTTACCAAGTGTGTAGTTATTTACTACATCAGATACAACAATTGAAGAAAGGTTGCAGAATGTTCGGCCAAAAAAAAAATAATCATAATAATAAATAGTTTTATTGGCCAAACAGTACCCCTGCAGTTGCAGCCTTTATACGGCTGAATTGATGCAGGGTATCACATAATAATCAATAGATATTAATCAAATAATACAATCAAATGATACACATGATACACATATTTGCTTCACAATTTTTTGTGGAACTGTTGCAAGGGTCTGTGCGGCTGCCATTCGGCACCACAAGGTGACCCCTATACGGCTTTCCCCAACCAAAGTTAGGTACCCATTCACACCTGGGTGGAGTGAGGAAAGTCGTGTAAAGTGCCTTTCCCAAGGGCACAACATCGGGGCGCATGTTCAAACATGTCCCAGGTACAACTCGGGATCGAACCCGGGTCTCCCGGTTCATAGTCGAACGCTCTACCACACAACGCCACGAAAATACATATTTAATGTTCATCTTTTCTGAACTCATGTCTTGGAAAATGTGTCCATTTGCCCACAGACATTACCAGATTTGATAACATCTATACCTGTACAGTGTTCGAAATACCTGTCTGCAGTCTGCAATCTGCAGATAGATTTTCAAGATTGCAGAACAAAAAAATTTATACAATCTGCAATTTTGCAGAAGGAAAAATTGGCACTTGGGATTTGGCGCTCTTGGCCCCAAGGACAGACAACACTTAAGCTCCTATTCTAAAACAACAGGAGCTTCTTCACTAATTTGCATTAACCTTGTCTTGACTTGTCTATCTTTTGTTTCTTTTGGACTTCCAAACATTTGTCTTCACTAATTTGCATATTAATCAATAGTTCATGCTTATAAACCTGCAAGATTGTAGTATGGAGGCTCGTGTATTTGCAGAAAGTATTTCCAAATTGCAGAACAAAATTTTGACTCTTCTGCAATATTGCAGAGCACTGAAAAAAAGTATTTCGACCACTGCTGTAGAATGTGTGTGTGTGGCAGAGGGAGGCGGTATTGTTGTTGCCTAATGATTGTGAACCATTCACACCTGGGGAAAGCAAGCACTGGAAGAAATAAGGGTGGAGACCTGTTGCCAAAATAACACCATTTTACCTGCTTTATTTTCCCTTGAAACAGTCCTAAGATGCAGCATTTTTGATATAACGTATACATTTGATAAGAAATGTGAAAAATCTACTTGTACTAAGTTGTAGATCTGTTGCAACTGTAGTTGTACAATGGTCACAATGTTTCAAAATGCCCGCTGGCGTTAAACTTGTTATTCCCATGATCACAAATGACAAACAGTGGGCCTTTGTCTGTCATAGGTTAATGTCTCATTACTCTTAGACCATTAGAGCCATTACTGAATTACCAAAGCCTTTCGAAAATTTAGACACGCACAATTAACATTGTCTTTCTTACATACTTGACCTTTCGTTGGCTTTATATATGTACGTAAGTTTTGTCACTAAACGTAAGTAAGAATCAGAATTAAAAGTTGTTCTTGAATACAAGGTACAATGTGGAATCATATTGGGTCAAAAAGGAGTTTTCAAAGGACTTGCTAGATATTAAAAAAGCTTTTGAATTCTTTCTTTCAATGTTCACTAGAGGTGGTAATGAGGTTATTTGTGTATTGGTAATGGCCTGTAGTCTTGTTGTCTAATCTTTTTGGCTGTACAACATCAGGATTACATTTTTGCACACACAAGTGACATACAAGTACAGCAGGTTGGTCAAAATGGTTTCAAAAATCCCCCACGATATAATATAACCACATATTTGATAATCTGTTTGTCATTATGTGCGGTAAGTTCTAATCACCGTGTAAAGTATGTTCAGCCGTTGGTCGATAAAGATTCGCCGCGAGGCAAACATCTGGATCATTGGGGCTAATTTTCCGTTTATTCTGCACGTTTAGCCGGGGATAAAGCCCGTCAGCGCTAATGTGACGGAACAGACCAGTGTCTGTGCCGAAATTGATGGCAGGATTGTTTACGGCGCTTTGTGATTGTGCAGTCTTTTGATCTCCACTGTAGAAGTGAAGGTCAGATGTTGGACAGTCAGTGTCACTTAAGCAAAGGGTTCAATATAATAATTGCAAATACATAATGAGGCAAAATTTTACAAATTTGTCACTATTTTCATGAGAAATAGTCTCTTCCTAAACCAGTCAGAGAATTGTCTATTTAGTCCAAGATGGAATAGTTTAACATTAAGATGTACATGACTTTTGTACTGTGAATCACTAAGATTCGCAGTAGACAATTTTCGCAGTCTAAAAAAAATGGACATGTTTGCGGAACTTTAATTTGCGATTATAAATTTTCGACACAGAAATGACCGCAAAAACAGTGAATATAAAAGTATTGCGAATATAAAAGTAACTCGAATATAAAATTACCACAAAGATAACAGTACCGCAAATATACCGCGAATATAAATAGTATACCGCAAAGACAAAAGTACCACAAAGATAAAAGTACCGTGAATATAAAAGTACAGCAAATATAAAAGTACAGAAAATATAAAAGTACAGCAAATACAAAAGTACAGAAAATAAAGTACAGAAAATATAAAAGTACAGCAAATATAAAAGTACAGAAAATATAAAAGTACAGCAAATACAAAAGTACAGAAAATAAAGTACAGAAAATATAAAAGTACAGAAAATATAAAAGTACAGAAAATATAAAAGTACAGAAAATATAAAAGTACAGCAAATATAAAAGACTAGTAGTACAGAAAATATAAAAGTACAGCAAATATAAAATTACCACAAATATAAAGTGATTTACAGTATTTCTAGGATTGTCTATGACATGAGATAGGGAAGCTAAAAAAACTAATGCAACATAATTCAGCAATATGGTTCTCATATTCTTCTGATAATAAAACATCACATATTATCACATCTTTCTTTCTATTTTTTTCCAGAGTCCTGAGCGGTATGTTTGAGCTGTGTTCACACCTGTTTGGGATCAAGATCCAGGTTAGTCCCGAGAAAATCCTCCTATTAACATTCAGAACCATTCCTTAATCCACTTGCTTTGGGCTGGCCTCCACCTGTCCTTTATTGTTCGGATCATTTTGTTTTTGCTCGTATGGATTATCAATTTTCCTCACTTGAGTATATGTGTAGTGATTTGTAAAATGGGATAAGGCTTGTCCCACTTTGTAATTAACCCGCTGTGCTTACATCAAAGCTGACCCGGTACTGTTTGTAAACAAAGGAAATGTATATCAACAGTGCCCTCCACTGGATAGAGGTTTTGTGCGCTTAAATGGTTCGCGTTTGAGCCGCAATTGTTTTTGCTTACAAGATTATAGTATCTGCTTTCCTCTTGTGGCTACGTGTGTAAGTACGTGTTAAATGTGATTATGATGGTCCCAGTTTTGTAATCAAAAGTCAGGGAGCTGGAGCCAGAAAGTCTTCATGATATCTAAAAAACAAACTTTAAGATAGATGGCTCTGTCCGTGGGATACATTGTGTGTTTAATTTGTTGGTTGAACAGTACTTAGTTTTGCTCAGAAACACTTACTTAGTAGGAAATTCAAATGAGATGAATTAAAAATTCTTTATTTTGATTGTTAAGTGTAAACGTTTTAAATTAAATTTTTGTGATTGTGCAATGATTTTGTTTTGACACACTGGATTTTGTTCTGACATAACTAGAATTTCTACTGAATGTTTTCCACATTTTTCCCCAAACTGAAGTTAACATGTATTGTATTGTCCTGTGTATGCTGGGCCCCCTTGGAAATCAGCTTTTACAACAAGGGGCAAGCCAGCTATCTTGTGATGAAATCAAGAACTTGTTACAGTTAGTAAAATATTCATCAATCAGTGACTGTTTTGAAAGGTAGCAAACACGAATCTCCAAATTTTTGACGTCCACTGTACATGTACATGTACGTCTTGATCACAGAGCGACTTAGTCTCGCAAGAACACAAGACTACATGTACATATAGATTGAGACTTGTGTAGATCTTACACAGTTGTATGTTTGTTTGTTTGTATTTACTGTAGGCGGCAGATGGAACGACAGAGGTTTGGCACGAGGATGTTCGTTTCTTCAACATCCTGGATGAACAAGGTAAGAGGACAGGCACAGGTACAATTGTAGGTACATGTAGCAGCAAATGAGATAAAAAGATTGAAAGTAAGATTGAAACACTAGGAGTGAGTAGAAAGACAAAAAACCGCAGGCTCCCGGGGATGCCGGGAACCTGCACTGAACCCAGGTAGCCAGTTCATAAATCAACCCCTTAACCACTAGGCCAAAAGGTCTGGACCCATTGAACTCAGTAGATTATCAGAATCTGTAGTTTTGAGACTCATAGGACAAGTTTCCTTCCAAAGATTTATAAAGTTGGACAGAGAGTTTGCAGCTCAACTCATCTTTTTACAGTTTTCAAACTTTCAGAGTGAATTTCACAGATTAAATCAAGCACTCAGCTAAAGGCTACATGTATGCCTGTTCACAGAGTTAGTCATGATGTTAGTCAACAAGTTTCCACCAGTTAGGCAGATATTGGAAGTTACACTGTACTCTCAACCATTGTGGAGAGCAGTTAGGTAGATTTAGTCACTAAATTGTAAACTTTCTATCAGTAGAAAATGATATTAGTGGAAGCATAGTGGACAAGTACAAGCATATTACGGTACAAAGTAGGTTTCTAGATCAGTTGTTGTATACAATTCTTGTTATGCGGCGGTATATAGACATCCATGTAATAAGATATGCCAAAAAACAGTTACTCAAGCAACTGGATATGATTTTGGAAACGATTAGACATTTCAGATAGCATCCACTACCTTTCATCAGTGACACTGGAGACTTGTAAGACTACTTCGTGCTTATAAACCTGCCTTTCTGACAACTCTCCAGTGTCACTGACGAAAGGTAGCGGATGCTACCTGAAACATCTGACCGTTTCCAAAATCATCATGTTTTGGTGTATCCTATTACCTGGATGTCTAACTTTTACCTATTCATAACAAGAACTGACTGTTTCCAAAATCATAATTATCCAGTTGCTTGAGTAACTCTTTTTTGTCAGTTCTTCTTATGATAAATGAAGTTGCAAGTCATGTCCTACACTGCGTGATAAAAGAGACGTTGTGTGGCTGACACATTGCTCACTGAGTCATGCCTGTGCCCCTGGCGTAACCGTCTGAACTTTTGCACATTTTAGTTCCACTGTTTGGACAGATGATGTCACATTAGGTGCGAACGTTGTGGGCTGGGCAGGGTCCATGTCAGGATGGATTGTTTCCAGTTGGGTTACTCAGGGGGAAAGGATGGGATCCAGGTGTGAGATCTGTTCTTACTAAACGGTCATTGTTACTGGGGAGAGAAAAAAGCATTGTGAACAAATTGGTGCATTTTGCTTCACGTTCAACAAAGCTTTGTGTGAAACCGATGCTTCAAAACAAAGTGCGTTGTGTAAAGGATGGGCAGTATATATTTTTTTGTAATTTAGATGAAGTATTGCAGGCCTCGAAATTAACTTTTCTTTCTATTGTCCCAGCACTGTCCCAAAAATAAATTTTAATTATCCCGAAGTGAGGATGAACTGTCCCAACCAGTTTTTTTGGGAAGTATTGTATGACTTGAAATAAACTTTATTTTGCTTACGTTCACTCCCAGGTGCACTATAATTTCAGAGTAGACCTGTCAGGAAATTTGGGGGGACTTTTCCGGATCCAAAAGCCAGGACGTGTGCCTGATAAACAAAAGAAGGGCTGATATTCTGATGTTGATTATTTTGTCCCAAATATGTCCCAAAGTGTCTTTTTAGTTGTCCCGGACTAAATTTTTGTGGTCGGTGGCCATCGGGACACCGTTAATTTCGAGCCCTGGTATTGTAGGACATATTACACAGTAGCTAGTTTATGTGGCATGATAAAACTATGCCAAGCTTGAACCATACTGTAAGGTATTGTGTCGTGGGACCTCTCGTAAAAATGTTACTCGCATTTCTTTCAGATAGTGTTGTTCAGTAACATCATTAGAAACGGGTACACATTGACAACAGTCCGACTTTTCACATTGCCACATTATCTGCGATCATTCTGTTTGAATTGATACTTGTCACTTGTTGTGATTCGTTACTAAGTGGCTACATAACAGCCAACTGTCTATTATAGCTTTTTGTAGCTTGCCTTTAGTGGTTTGATCTAGAAGTAGTTTAGGATTTGGCGCTGACTCAAATTGTACGCAATTCAGCTTATGCTGCAATGTACTGTTTCTAATAAACCAGTCTAAACCACCAAGGCCCGGGTTTGATTCCTAGTGTGGGAACCACTGTAAGAAACAGGAGGAGCGAGTAGAAACAAATAAAAAACCCCTGGTCTTGGGCCGGGGTTTGAACCCACGCCCTCCCGAGCACCAGCTTCAAACTCCAACGCTCAAACCCCTCGGCCGGGTCAGTTGGTAGCGCCTATAAACTCCCCACTGTTGCAGTACAGCAAAAAAAAGCAGTTGACTTTCTTATGAAAATGTACCTTGTTCACAGGTGAACATGCAAGGGCATACTACATGTAGGTAGAATTTATTATTTTCCAGAAGACATCACTCAATTTCCTTTCATATGATACTATGCAGTGTTAGAAATACCCATCTGCAGTCTGCATTTTGCAGAGACGTTTTCAATTCTGCAGAAGCAAAATGAAGCAACCTGCAATTTTGCAGACTGAAGAAGTCAGGCTAGGGGTTCAATGGTGTTGCCATGATATTGTTTTTGAGTATTTGTATTTACTATTGAGTCTGTGATATAAGTAGTAATTTTGGCTGTATTTCTCACGTGAAATGCAATTTTGTAAGTGCCATGCGATTTTGTATACGCCATGGGTTTAGGTCTGGACTTATAAGTGTACAGTTGCAGAAGGTATGTCTGAATTGCAGAACAAAGTTTTGACAATCTGCACTATTGCAGAGGCCACACCAATTCAATTTGTTGGTTCTCGGTTTTTCAGAAAAATTATGAAGTGACAGGGCGAAAGAAAATAAAAATCAAAACAGGCCTAGGCATCCTATTATAGCCCCAAAATGCTACAATAGGAGCCATGAAGTCAACACAAAAGACTGGGTTAATATTCAAGCAATGAATTTTGAACTTTTAATCAAACCACTGCATTGATAGATGGGAAAATTGTAACAACTAGGAAGAAAAGGACTTTCCTCAACTGTTGGGGGCAAAATATGAGCATATTTTAGTTGATTCAGAACCAGAATCTTTTTTTTTTCTTTTGTCAATCAGAAAAAAATGAAGAGGCAAATCCAAGAACCAACAAATTAAGTTGGTGTGGCTAGAACACTGAAAAAAAGGATTTCTACCACTGCTATACCTGAGTTAAGGAATGTCTTCCATCTCATTTGCCCTCAGCATGACACTTTAAACTCTGAGTGACCTCCACACCTTTAAGAGATCGTAAACGATTACCTGTCTTGAAGACACTGAAGCCCTTTGTTAGGAAACTCATCCATCAACTTAATCAATGTCCATTGTCTTGCCGTGTTAAGTCAACTTTTTAGAAGTACTGTGTGAGCTAGAACTGTCAAAAGTTGTCTACAGTAACTGTTGCATTTTCTGTTACCTCAATAAAAAGTTTAGCGGTCAGGTTTTCAAGATTTTTTACCTATTAGTAAACTGGTAGCTACAAGCAGTATTTTGATTCAGTTAGTTCTGACTCAAATGGTGTTATAGGGTATCTACCATTCACAAGTAATTGTCAACAGGACTTAGAAGTACTGTGTGAGCTAGAACTGTCAAAAGTTGTCTACAGTTGCATTTTCTGTTACCTCAATCAAAAGTTTAGCGGTCAGATTTTCAAGATTTTTTACCTAGTAAACTGATAGCTACAAGAAGTATTTTAATTCACTTAGGCCACACCAATTTAATTTGTTGGTTCTCGGATTCGCCTCTTCGTTTTTTTCTGATTTGCAAAAAAAAAAAAATATGATTCTGGTTCTGAATCAACTGAAAAATGCTCATGTTTTGCCCCCAACAGTTGAGGAAAGTCCTTTTCTTCCTAGTTGTTACAGTTTTCCCATCTATCATTGCAGTGGTTTGATTAAAAGTTTAAAATTCAATGTTTAAATTTTAACCCAGCCTTTTGTGTTGACTTCATGGCTCATTTCGTAGCATTTAAGCCTATAATAGGATGCCTAGACCTGGTTTTATTTTTTTTTTTTTTGCCCTGTCGCTTCATATTTTTTCTGAAAAAATCCGAGAACCAACAAATTAAATTGGTGTGGCCTTAAGTTAGTTCTGACTCAATTGGTGTTATTGGGTATCTACCATTTACTAGTAATTGCCAACAGGACTGCTTTGTAATTAAAGGAAACCTAGTAAGACTAAACACTGCTATGTAAAATGCCTCTTGTGCATGCGGTAGGCTATTATTTGAATGATTTACTATCTGTAGAGATTATATCTGGTTTATGCCCCATTCACACGTACACGCTCATCACCCCTCATCAGATAAAATGGACTGTTCCTCCAGGCACAATTGTCATCATCACCTGCATCGTAAAGTGTGGAACAATTATTTTACTGCAGGGCAGTCCTCATCATTTCTCATTTAGACTGTCTTTAAGTCGAAACAAGCACACACAGTCCATTTTGGCATTGTGTATTGCGTACGAATAATATACAAGAAGGTAATTGTAGTGTTACAGTTAGTTTGTACTGTACTGTAGACTTCTTAAGCCAAAAGCTTGCCTTTCAGTATAAAAGATTTATTGCAAATTGTAAAAATGTGGTAGTATTTTACAACCAGGTGTTTTTCTTTAAGAAGATTTGACTGCGTTAGTTAGGCCACACCAATTTAATTTGTTGGTTCTCGGATTTTTTCAGAAAAAATATGAAGCGACAGGGCGAGAAAAAAATAAAAATAAAAACAGTGTTTTTATTATTTTTTTTCGCCCTGTGAGGTCTTGGCATCCTATTATAGGCTTAAATGCTACGAGATGAGCCATGAAGTCAACACAAAGGGCTGGGTTGAAATTTAAACATTGAATTTTGAACTTTAAATCAAACCACTGCAATGATAGATGGGAAAACTGTAACAACTAGGAAGAAAAGGACT